ATAAAGGGTTAGGGACGAGAAGCCCCCAAAATTCACCAAACAATGCTTAAAAGAATATTTATTTGTTTCCTGGAAATCTGAATAAACCAGAAATTACTCTTATGGGTTTCATGCCCCCTCCTCCACCATTTCTTCCATTCTCCCTTCGCTTTTTCTGCAACAACTGTGTCATGATGCAGCCTACCCAATGAGTCATGCACTAGAGCTCTGTACATTTAATGAAACTGTGAAACCAGTCTTGGCATACAGTACTGTACTGTGAATTTGATGCCACTAGCTGGCTTGACAACTCTCTTGAGCAACCGTGCTTGAATTTCCATTGCCTCAGCCTGAATCATTAGACCACTCAGAGCAGCTGGATGGTCTTGAATATGCATGGTTGTGCATATGCTGAATGAATCTTGTCAGCCTTCAATTTGCTGCTGTGAATTGTGCTTTCATTTAACCCGTTTCAGCAAGCCACATGTGATGCAGTTCCAAGTCAAGTTCATCCAAAATTTTAACTTTCTTTTCTTTTTCTCACTTGAACTGGAAGGAGAAGCTGCTGTTCAGCATTTGGACAACAATGCAAGTAGTACAAGTAACAAACTCATAGGGAATTGCAAGAGTAAGAACATTGTCCTTGACTTTGAGTGACACTGTGACTGCAGCTGGGGAAGTGTGAGTGTGGTAGTTGTACAGTATTGGGGAGACAGTTGACTTTAAACACTTCCATGTTTGTTTTTTCACAAAGTAAAAACAGATCTCAAAACATATAGGAAAATGGTAATAATGTATCTGTATTCTAGGAAGCTGCAAAAAAAAAAAAAAAACTACAGTACACCCCTGCAGTTAAAAAATCATGAAATAACCCAAGGCCATTGTAATTAATTTATACCTTGCCCTCAAATCCAGCTATTTAAAAAGAGACAGTTACATAAGGTTACTTAAATCCATTTTCATATCTAAACTACCAGTACCACTTTTCCTGTCAGAGAAGCAACCAGTAAGTGAATTGAAAATTTAAGACTACTGTATCTTAAGGCACCTATGGTAACTGTTAAACAAAATACAGTTTTGCTTTTCATTAAATTGTTGCCTGTGTATGCTGAATTTAAATTGTTATGCATGTAAATATTTAAGTTGTTTAATAAAGTGTCATTTCATTACATACCTGGGGCCGGATACTCAAAACACCTCATAAGTTACGTTTTTCAGCATGATACAGTGCCATATATTGTGGAAGCCTTACTCTACCATAAATTTAGCAAACTCAAAACTTAATTATGGTTCCGTAAGCCTTCCGTAAGTTCTCGTAACTCTCGTGTTTACCCTGTAAATTAAGTTCTCTTGTTGGACGGTAGATGTCAGTGCAGATGCTAGTTGGCCAATCAACGCTCAGTTAACAAAATCATCAACAAATCACAAGAGAAGGAGAAATCAGCTGAGAGCGACGCACGTAATATTATTTTGTAAACATGGAAGGACCACCAGCCAAGAAGAGACGACCTAATTTCAGTGAGATGGGGGATATATTTCTGGGTTCGAGAGATGATGTAATGGGCAATTGCAGGAACTACCGAGAAAATTTTTCCATTACCATAAACATTCTGGGGATGAGGGATATTTTCTTGATTTGTGATAACTGTCTCGTTAACGGGAAAACACTCATTCATTCACGGTAGTGCTCTTCACCAATTGTTCTGGCTAACAGAGATCTCACAGTATTTGGTGTTTTACCCCACTAGAATTTAGGTAAATAATCCCTTGCATAATGTTGGCCTGTGACAAGACACATAAGCTATACTAAGATAGCCTTATTCTGGGCAAATTCAAATAAATTGGTTATTGATAGCATAGCCTTGCCTAACCTAAATGACAAATCACTTCTCTTAAATTACTCATTTAGCCTAGACCCTAGTGTTTTCCTTTCAATGTTGGGAACATTTGGTCTGAATTGTCTTCAAGTTCATACAAAAAACAACAATTTAAAACCTGAAAATATATCGGATTAGCCGTAAATTTTCTTAAATTAATACTCTACCTATGATAATGTTCAAGGAAAGTCTGGAACTAGACCTAAGGTAGCTGCTGGACAAAGTGTCTCACTGACGGCCTGACACTCACCAAAAAACCATGTACACATTCTCTAACCTAACATACCATAACATAACATAACCAAACCTATCTATCTAACCTATACCCTATTAGTATAATTTCTTATTTAAATAATCCTCATGTTCTAACTAAATTCAGTAGGCCCCATGTTTAAACATTTATTTGCCTAAGACTGAAAAAGCAGTTATATAGGCCCCTATTAATCAAGTTAATTGCAATCCATATTTTACACCTAATATCATTTAATTTTGGCTAGCCTATGGAAATTTATAGCCTTTCATGTTATCATAAGCTATATACATAAGAAAATAGGCTAAGGCTATTGGTTGAATATTAGAAAAACAAGGCGAAGTCTTGGCAGGAATGTTCACTTGACCTCATATTTGGCTTTCATTACTGAGGGATATTTACGGCTATACAACATTAATAAGTTCTATCTGCAAGTTTACTCAGTCATAAAACATATTTTTACCCTAAGTGTGAACAATACAAACCTTCTGTTTTGGTAAGAAATACTTTATAATGTGTAAGAAGACAAAAGATGCGTCTCTTCCAAACTGAGACAAACACAAACACTCAAGCCTCTTATTATGGCAACAAAAAAGTTATGACAAAGACAAAGTGAAATATTATATTTCAGTATGTTGATGTACAAAACATTTTCTTCATTATTCCAACATATATTATTATTATTTTCTATACAATCGGGAATTAGTCACTACTACATCCGGGTTGAGAGTGTTACACAACCTCGGGAGCTGGTGTAAGTTACTTGCGTTAACTTACGGAGTTCGATGTCAAATATTGGTTTTGAGTATACCATCTGTGTTTTGAGTATGCCAATCTGAGACTGTGAGTCTAGTTACGGGTACACAACGACATACAGTCCCATAAATTTTTTTTGAGTATCCGGCCCCTGTACTGTAGAATCTTTTTATCGGGTAACTTATCTCCCAATTTATATTAATAATGAATAAAGAAGTAAAATTCAATATACTACCACAAATCAATAAATTTAAGTACAACTGTACTGTACTTATTTTTAGCCTTGAACAGTACAGTCAACCAAAAAAAATTCTGCACCTTTATGGTGTTATACAATATGACACACCGGACCAAGAATTCTGAACAACACTGATTTATGCGGGTGATTCCTGTTAATTTCTCTGTATTAACTACATTTGATATAAAAAATACATCATACTGGTTATACAATGCATCACACAATCAGAAACACCAACCTTACCAAATTAACATGGCCTCAGTCAGTGATCATTGCAAAGGCCATCAGACCTAGGGGTGTAGAACATTTTTTTGCTGACTGTACATTATAGGGCTTTTGATATTTTTTTCTAGGGTCACTTCTAACCCTTTATTTCCGATTAGACCCAGCCTTTACCAACAACAGGACAAATTCTAGAACATAACCTTAATGGTTGACCATGGATTACTGTAGTGTACTGTATTACTAAAAATATGTTTAATGATACATAACATGAATTCTTAATGTAAATCATAATAAACACCAGAGCATGAGTGTGGGTCTGGTTGGGTACATGTAGCTCCTGATAGGAGATGGAGACAAACAAAGACAGTGTCTGTTCAGTCCAAAAAGGTGTCTAAAACTGAGGACTGAAGCAGGGAATGATGATTTGTAACCAAAGCCAAATTAGACTCACGAAGTGCACAAGGTAGTGTGACGTTAAGACTACCAGTACTGTAGTTGTTTTCAACCATGAGTGGTAACCTTTATATCCAAAGGTCTCTTAAAAGATACCTGGATATGATGGGAAGGTATAAACTAATCACAGAATTAGTGTCAGCCACCAGTGTTGACGGTATTACTCTTGGATTTCATTCTATAGTCTTTGTTGGTAATCATTGAGTCACTCAAGCCAGGCATTAGTTTATAAATCCTACAATGTTAATGAATGTAAGCATTACCAGGCCACTGTCTTTAATTGTACTAACCTATATACAAAGGCATTTACCCATGCAAGCTCAAATGCCTTCCGCATCAAGAATCCACCAAAGATTTTGTTGAAGACATTTCGAGACTGAAAGAGAGAAAAAGGTTTCTTGGATAGCTTCCCAGTTGATAGTTATGACAGAGCAAAGTGTATCCTTGTGCAGCATCACCTTTCATGTTAATACAGTACAGTACCTGTGACCAAGGTGAATTCATGAAATAAAAGTATTCTGAAAGATCATGGGAAAAATAAAATGTCCTATTTTTTTTAACTATAATTAAGTAGAAGAGTAGAAGAAGTATAAACAATAAAGGAAAATTTGTTTTAGAAAAAGAATAATTGAGGTAACAGAGAAAATAAAAGCAAAGAGTATTGGTTGGTTTCTTAAATTAAATATCATAATTACAAAAGGAAGGTAATCTGGTAAGAGAAGTAAAAATAGCAATGCAAGGTGTAAACCAAACTCATTCATATTCATAATTAAAATAATTTCAGGCTGGAGGAAAACAGAGAGAGCATGAGATATTACTGTGGGTGATATTAGTACATTATGACACAACAAGCATCATTCTCCCGTTCCTGAACATCAGTAAAATTTGTCATGGATGTAACTCATATTATTTTCAATCACAATCTGGTGAATAAGGTTTTTCAGTAATTTACAGCATTCAGCACAGTAAAACCTCTCTATGGTGACATTCTTAATTCAACAGAACACTCTGAGCTTTTGAAATACTGTACTAGATACTGTACTGTATATGAAAACTAGAAAAAAAAAATTGAGTACAGTAAAAAAAATTCATAATCAAGTTCATTCAGTTCCATTATTTACATTATCATCACCCTTCTTCCTTTGATTAATTTAAATTAGAGAGGTTTTACTCTATTTGTAAAGCATAAACACAATTTGGGGTTCCTGAAAACACTACTGACCTAAATGTAAAAGCACATGCCCAGCCCAGTTCATAGGCCTGGCGCATGATGAATCCTCCAAACACCTTCCTGAATCGGTTCCTGTGCTGTAGAGGTTCGTGGTAAAAATACTCATGGTGTTAGTCTGGATCTTATGTTCAAAAGGACAAAAACCAATACAGTAGTACATTGAATTACTGGACACTTACATATCTGGAATGTCTTAAGAGTGGAGTAGGGATTCTCTGATAATTTATTCTGAAAAAATTAACACTAAAATACTAATTATAACTAAGGACAATTCAAACAAAGACCTGGAGTGAGGATGTACACATAATGGTATTGGATGAAGAGAACAGTTAAACAGTAAGGTTACAAAATACACATACAGCATGGATTTATATCTACATGTATGTACTGTACTATAATATCTTTTCTTGTGATTTTGTAATTAATAAAAATACAGTGAAACCTCCAGACTAATGGATATCACACAAATGTGACTCAGCCACCACATGCTCTTCACACCAATTCATCAGTTGGTTAGTGCAGAGCTCCTGTAATTCTCAGTTGAAATCTTTATTTTTGTGTATTTAGCCAGGGAGAATGTAATGAGGCCCCATAGATGCTGAATCTCAGCCTATGTACTGAGTATGCCAATAGTTCTCATGTCTTAGATAGATAGAGTAATAAAGTGCCTGGATATAATCAATGAGCCAGATATAATAAATATAACCCTAATAAATAAATAAGAAGTAAAGTGTGTACATCTAATCACTCCTATCTATATCATGAAATTGAAAAAGATACAAATCATTTACTACTTGGTACACACATATCCATACTACAGTACTCTAGTTGGTAAATATTTCCATGTTTTCAAATAATACTGACCCTCCATCATCCATGGATGTCAACCCTTCAAAAATATTATACTGTGCTTGTGTGAACTGACACAATTTTTTTTACTAAAACATTTATCTTAAAACCTCAGATTATGCATAAGCATAAAACAAATGGTAAATTGCAATTGTTCTCGGTCACAACATCCAAAGGTCTTAGACTTAGTGGTCTTGATTATTGTACATCACTGGTACGGACATTGACGTTACCCTCTCCTGGGTAGGTTGCCTACCAAGGCTTGAGCCCTACCTGCCCAGGTTGGATTCGTGAAAGCCAAGGCAAGTTTACCTATTGGTGGCCAAGTTCAGTGTGCTCTGGGCCTCTAGTTCTTCTGCAATGTACAGGTACAATTTACCATAGTGCATTACAGGAAGGCACAGAGGAAGGCCGTGTGATAACAGGAAGGCAAGATGCCTTAAGTTAAATGACTAGAGAGCACATCTATTGCTGTAATGGAATTGAAGACATGGTTGGACAGCCTCCTCCTCATAAAGGCAGGTGCTGGCAAGCTCCCCAATGGAAAAATAGAGAAGGCTAAGTACATAAGCCAGGCTTAATTAATGTATCATGTGCATGTAATAAACATTCTGAGGATGTATGTAAAAGGATAGTGTGGTAAAACTTTGAGACTCAAAGCATACCACAACCCATTATTTACTCAAGACACCAGTGACTTACCTAACCCCATGAATTATGGCAGATTACTCCATTTACAAGATGTACACACTTGTTAGTGGTGTAAGCTATCCTCTTTTTTAAGTGTGATTTTACATTTTTAAAGTCATAAATTTGTTTAAATCCTTGTATACAGTACTACTGTATTGTGGGAAGAATCATATATATTTTTATGTAACTGGACCTAAACCTTTTACCCAAAATAAGTTTACTTTGTCAACATATAATTTTATTCATTTATAAACATATTTAAGACTGGACCTTGAACAGTTGCAGAGGACCATTGTACAAAGAATAAGTGAAAATAAACAAATAATTGACCTATGTTAACTGATTATAAAACCCACTTCTGCAACTGTTAAATTTAGAAATGTGTTGACTTGTTCATTCTGATGAACATGGTAGCACCTTGTCTCTAGCCCCCAAAAAGTTAATATGACTACACAGTTTCCATACCTAGTTACATTTAGGTTAATTAATGAACTACATCAAGTACAATCATTACCTCAGGATGGCATATGATGAGATTCTTCAGTTTGGTTTCTTCAATCCATACAGAATTTTCAGGTTTATTCTTAGAAGTGAAGGAGAGCTCCTCAGGGTTTGCCATCGACATAAACATTTCATGAACCAAAGTTTTCTCTGAAAATACCTCTAACTTTGTGAAACAAGTTTTACATGCTTCTCTGTGAGTGGTTATAAGTTAACCTCACCGATTAAACAATAACCACATAAAACAAGTTTATAATTATCCTAATACTATATGACTTTCAACGTATGGAACTCTTGTAGAAAGCCAGTCTCAGTTACAAGTATTTATATGTTTGCCATTAAAAGGTGGCAATAATGATAAGAATTCTGAGGTAATCAATATCCATTAATATTCAAGTCATCATAGTACAGTATTTACAAAGTTGGACATAAACTAAAACTGTACTTCAAATGATCTGAGGAAAAATTTAAGTGATCACAATAAAGAGGAGGATAAAACAGAAATACTGTACTGTGTAGCTGATTAAAGGATGCATCAGCAGAGGCAGCCAAAGGGTATAGGTAGGTGGAAATGTCAACACAAGTGGTGCAACATGGTAAACTAAAGAGAGAGACAAAAACTGAGGAAACATAGAGAATATTGAACGAAAAGCCCAATGATTTTGGAAACAATGAGTAATAAAAATGAAAATCTTATGACCACACACAGGAATTATGAAGAGGGGTGAACATCAGTCTTTGTAAAGAAAAGGTAAATGCATCTTCTTGAAAGAGGATGGATCAATAGTAATTTAGGGTACAGTAAAACATTTTGAAAAGAATGACCCTTGTAAAAAAACAAAGTTAAATTGTGTAAAAAAGTTTTATTGCTTATAGGATAGGAATAAAGTCACAAAGTGGAGATGACTGGGAAAAAGAAAAAAAATGCATCTGTTAACAGAACTTATGTTTTGAGGAAAACAGAATGTACAGTGTACAGTACTGTACAGTCTACAGATGGAAAGGTATGTGCAACATATGATGATGGAGAGGTAAACTTCATATGATTTGTCATTGCAATACACCATACAATGATAATAAGCCAAGTAAGGCTGGGAAGAATGTGTATTACTGTGGCAGAGTGAATGGAGATGGAATTTCACTTACAAATCTAGTTAATACAAAAAAGGGGAGACTTTTAATTACCGTAATGTGTTTAAGTTATTGTAGTTGGAACTATAACTGGGTTTACAGACACAAAAGGTATAGCTGTACAGCAGTAGAGTGCATGCCTCTCACAACTGCATCCCTGGTTTGATCCTTGGGATGGATGTGAGAAGGGTATTATCCAGCACGACCCTACTAAACAACTAAACATCACAGGTTTTCTCCAGTTACTCCGGTTTCCTCCTGTGCACTAACACTGGACAAAGAAAATAGTAACAGAAAACAGATGTGCATGACAGAACAGACCAACTGTAAACTGACAAGTAATGAAAAAAAAAAAATTTACAAAATAACTAAATACAGTGTATTGTACTGTAAAAATAAAAATTATGTATAACATTTTGCATATTTAACAAACCTGACTCATTTGGTGGGACTCTGAATAAGCTCTCTTCTTGAACCACTTTTCGATGCAGTTTGCTTATATCTCCTCTTTGAAGTATTTTCCGCTCCTCGGGAGTCTCACATACCAATGGATTAACAGGCACTGAACCTTGATTCAGAGGATCCCGAGCAACCATGACAAACACTGCACGAGTTATCTAAAGAATTAATTTTGCGGTATTAAAAATTATATCAATAACAAGGACAGTACAATGTGAAATGGCAACAAATTTAATTCTGAGGAAGAGAATTTTATGGAAACTGCTTTTTCCTCAATACTGTATAATGAAAACATTTTAGGATTTTTTTCCTCAGAGCAAAGTTAGATGCACATTTTTTCACTTCAATGTCCTAAAATTTAAAACTACAGTCTAATGTATACCATAATGCAGTTTCAAAAAAATGTTGAATGTAAATATTTACATTCTAGTATTTTCAAACAAAATAACAAAACCTTGGAAGAGATTTAATTTATTGGTTATGAAATAACACACAGGGACCCCGCTTAGAGCAAATGTGTTTCTGAGGTATGCATGCTCAGCAATAATTTGTACTACTTTCCTTCAGACACCTGCAATTTCTATGTAGTTTACTTTTAATAACACTAAATATATATATATATATATATATATATATATATATATATATATATATATATATATATATATATATATATATATATATATATATATATATATATATATATATATATATATATATATATACTGTAATACATACTATCTATAATGTAAAGTACAGCACAGTATACCTGTACAGGTACATACATAATATTAATACAGAATACTGTATATAATTTTAAAACCTTCCAGCTCATTAAATTCATGAAACAAAGACACTGCCTTCTCATAATTAATGCTTGGGACATGGGCAGTGACCACCGATTATTGTCTTCTACGCAAGGTAATTAAAAGTTTTCCATTCTCTCAATTACAGAAATATGAGTTTCTGTTAATTTAATGGTACTTACTGGAGAAGTAGTTTCAGGTGTTGCATGTATTTTTATCTTTATTCTTCATAATTGTTCTGGGTGAAGATTCACCAAGGTCAAACTAATGTCCAAATGCTGTGGTACCAATGCCTGACTCCATTCTAAGTAACAATTTAACTTTTACTTCTAAGATAATGCTTTTTCTTTATTTTTTCTCACTTTCAAACCTAATGCGTGTTGGATATTTTGGAGCCATAGTTTTGCAGAAATAAGGACTCTTCCATTTAAAGATGTATTATAATTACAAGAAAAATATGCAGCTTGCAGCAACAGCAGAGAGAGCATGTAGTAAACAACTATTACAGCTCAAAAATTCAATGCAACCTGTACAACACTCACTGATTGGGTATTTTGGGAGCTCGCTCAACAAGGTGTGCTGTGAGTGGCTGCTCTCACATATGCGATATGAGCAAGAAGGATGAAAGAGCAGATAAGATGTTTATGACCATGCTATGCCTGCATTTGAGTTTATTATTTGTAATAAAGACATATACAGTACAGTATATATAAAATTTTCTCTTTGTTTTTGGTAATTAATTAAGAATTAAAATAGATTTCTTAAATTACAGCACAATCCAACAGTATGGAGCCACACTAATAAGCAAGGTCCCTCTATAATTTTAAAAACACAATTAAAGGGAAAGAAAGACTAAGCAACAAAAAAAATCACTCAAGTTTCTATACCTTTTGCCAATTACCATCAATATATTGTTCAACTGTTAAAATAGTTTCCAGGGACGACTGACCAGCCCATGAAACATGTCCAGAGAGCCTGATATCCTTATCTGGCCGTAAAGTCATCCTTTGATTAAAATCTATCCGGTCCACAAGTGCTGTCACAATACTATACGGACTGGGCATATCTGCCTTTTGATGAGGGTTTTTGATGTGTTTATAGCAGAGCCACACTAGAAGGAAAAAGAAAAACACATGCATTTAATTTGTGCTTAGTGAAATATTGGAGGTTGACAAGATTTATACATTTCTTCCCCCCTTTTTTTAACTGAAAATTTCTGGAGGATTTTCCAATAAAGCAAATGCCTTTTTCCATCTCAAAAGCCATTCCATGCTTTATAGATTCTGTTAATGTGAATTCAATATATAGTAACTCAAACTTCCGGGTACCTTGAGAGAAACCTGGGCCCGTATACACAAAACTTTTATGCTAATGACATAATAGTACTGTTAGCTAGCAGTAAAATTTAAAAGTTGTACACAAAGCTTAACTCGCAAACTTTTACCGCACAAATAGTTGTTTGTTAAGTACCGCTAAACAGTGCTAAAGATAGGAGGAGTTCATCATATAAAATGGTCTTATGGCTGAATAACTTCAATAAAATTCTGAAGATTAAATTCAACATTTACACTTACAGTATATACATTTTGATCATTAAAATAAAATAAAATCTAATCTATGCGGTTTGAAGGAAGATTTATTAACCAAAGATAGTGATCGGTGACTTTTCCTTGCCGTGCTGTTTGTAAACAAACATATTGTTGAGGAAATGGAAGTCTCAACCACACACAAAAAAAAAAAGGAAGCCCAACTGGACAGCAGACCAGACTTTATTATTGGTGGATGCCATTGAAGAGAAAAAGTTAATATTGAATGGCCACTTGAAGGTTTTCCTGAATAATAAACACAAAAAGAAGGGGTTATTTTTTGTTATTAACCCATCACCTTTTTACAATTTTTTTCTTACTATTTAGTAGATCTCACTGAGTAACGAAAGAATATACTTGAATTAAGCGGTGCAGTCCAAAAATAAACGCGATATTTGTGATTTATTACTTGTAAAAATCATGAATTTTTCTAAGTCCCATTTTGATGTTATGGTGACACTCAGCGTCGCTTTCGTTTCGTTAACCACCCATCACCTTTTATCACAAGAATTTTTTTTTTTTCAAGTTTTCTTGCTATTTTAGGGGATTCTGACAGTTATCTTTAGGGCAAATCACTGTTAGGTCAGGCAACCTAACCTAACCTTAAAAAAAAAAAGTTAGTTTATGTTACCTGACCTAACAGGTCATGTCCTAACCTAACACAACTAAAAAAAAGTTAGGTTCGGCTAGGTTACATGATCTAACAAGCCACGTCCTAACTTAAACTGACCAAACCTAACTAAAAAAAAAAAAAAGTTAGGTTAGGTTACCTGACCTAACAAGCAAACTCCTAACCTTAAAAAAAAAAAAAAAAAAAAAAAAAAAAGTGATTTGCCCCAAATATAAATGTCAGAATCCCCTAAAACAGAAAGAAAACTTGTGAAAAAAGGTGATGAGTGGTTAACAAAAAATAACCGAAGAGGACACGGCTGGAAATCATCATGAGAGTCAATGCTGCGTTTCCTAGTGTGGTGAGGTCAGTGGCAGAGTGTGAGACACACTGATTCTCAGCATTGTCCACACTACATTTATTAAATACAGTATATCTCTACTTTCCCCAAAAATGCGTAGCCGCCGCTGATATTGTTGTTGATTCGCCAGGGTATCAACTAACAGACGACTATTAAGAGACTTAAAAGTGCTCCTGAGGTCTCTTAACTTAACAGTACTATTAAGGTCCTTAAAAGTTTTGTACTGTATATGTACTATTAGTGTAGGTTATGCATCTAAGCTACTGTGCCGAGTAGCAACCCTGTAAATAAGCTACTGTGCCGAGTAGCATTTATATATATAATTACGTGGCAACACTGCACGTGTTATGTGGCAACATTGCCCCGAGGCTGCCATATGGCAAGGCAGCCTCAGTCTGACTGTGTGAGCCGTGCATGGCACACGTTAGTCACCACTTGTATTTCTCTCATCCATAATAAACGGACTTCAGTGTTACACGGTGTTTCCCTACCCATCACTGCATTCCTCAGGGAACACTTATAACCACAGGAAAATGTCAGCCTTAACATCTGTTTGCCAGCACTTAAAAGTTTTATGTATACCGGCCCTGTACAGTACAGTATATTTTGTTTATTCTTATGATTTTATGAAGAAAGTTTGTCCAAGAGACGGTCAGATTACTTTCCTCTATCAACTGTATTAAACCAGACATGGATAGTTTTGTGAAAGAGTTCCTTAATTGATGGGAAGCATAAATATCAAATTGTACTGTGCAGTATGTTTAATGAAGAATAACTGTACTGTTGCAAGTATTGTATTGTCAGAATACAAAGGATAATGTGGATAACCAAAATTGCCAGTCTATACAACTTAATACAGTACCCTGTATCCTTACTTTCAAGTTATTAAAAAACAGGTTACATGAAGAATATAGTGAGCTACAAGAGATTTTCAAATGGAACATTTTATCTTCAATAACAAGCATCAAATGTGAGCATGATATTTTGAATACAGGTATTTACAGTAAAGGTGTCTTTCAAGGTCAGACATTTACTGATGATTTTTTTCTCTAGGACGTTCATTAAGACATTTGTTTATATGTACAGAATGCAAATCTAGGAGGGGAAAAAAAAGTTAATTAGCAGAAAGCAGATCATAGAACCAGGAGCACCATTGGAGAAGTTTTGTTTGTGTTAAATTTTAGGACATTTAGTACTGTACTGTTAATTCTAAAATCAGGCAGGTCAGTGAACGTTTTCGTCAATTCACCAAAGCACTTAAGTTATGGTGACCAAGGTTTATTTGTTCCTTCTACAGTAAATCCTGTCGCATTTCCCGTGTTACCTCACAGTTTAGCATTCTCTATAATAAAATAAAACAATTAAAGAAAATTCCCTTAGAGAAATGTTATCAAGCATGTGAGCCTAAAAGACACTTTTATCAGATTTCTTTTTTCCTACTCTTCCAGCCACATCTGTGTGGATTCCATTCTGATACTGCAAAGGTCATCATTCTTACCAGCAAAAACATCAAGGTCTTCCAACAGACGTCCAATTCTCACACCTCCCATAAAGGTCACATACTTCTCACGGAGTCTTTCCTCTGATCCCAGAGGAATAATGGCACTATCCCAGCTATCCTGTTGATTAAAAATCATAGCTTATTCACAAACTAAATTAATTGGAAATTCCTCTTTAAAAACTTCAAATTCAGGTCAAACAGGCTAATCCTTTTTATTCTACAAAGCACAAAGTGAGCTTTACTTTATTAACACCTTGGGTACGAGGGGGGTCTCTGCTAAATAAAATCATCTGGCGTTGGTCATATAAAATATTAAAAGTGACATCTAATACTAAATGGGTTAAAGAGCAGTCATGTATATGAATGTTGTCACAGACTTCTCCCCTTGCTAAAGTATGAAAATCTAAGTACAGTAGTGAAAATCAGGCATGAGCAACTCTTTTGTACTCAAGAGAAACATTTGATTTTGACCAAGTGATAGAAATTTACCATCATGTTGCGTGGGGGTAGCTCATCCTGGGAAGCTGGTAGCAGATCAAACAGATAACTCCGATCCATAACTTCACCAAAACTCTTTGCCGCTCCAATCTTGTGTGTTAGGGATGATATCACTGAAACAATATTCTTTTATCAATCTCAAGATATTTTGCCAAGTGCAGTACAACCTATGACATATTACATATACTGTACTGTATCTTATCTTAGTTAACAATACAGTAGTACCCCGCTTAATGCGGTCAATTGAACCCACAGGGTATCACGTTAAGTGAAAACCGCGTTAAGTGAACAACAGAACATATGGGATTAATTCCAATAGAGACTGGCCCGACCCCCCAAACTCCACTTTTTGACGACACACAACTATGTTGTTGTAAAAATATTATCTTAATTTTATGATGGTATGCACACACAATTAATAATTAAGAGAAATATAAATAATATTAGGTTTTTTAACACTTACATTAGTAGAAAAGATGGCTGGGCACACGGGGATGGGGGGTTGGTTACGAGGCAGAGGGCAGATTATTGGCCCTCACCTGTATCACTTGTATCAATTGTATCACTATCCACCACAGAGGCTTGCAGGGCCTCTTTGTCAAACCCCTCAAAGTCCATATAAGTCCATATCCTCACTATAATTATCACTATCACTGACTTGGGCCGGCTGTGGTGGGTGGCGGGTGAAGAACTCGGTAATGTTTTGATGACTGGGCGACCTTGTGCGCATCATGCCCGCGCCGCTTCCCGCGTATTTGAGTAGATGAACCATGTTAAGTGAAAGTTCGGTTCTGGCGAGGCACCGCGTATGTGAGAAATCGCGTTAAGTGAAACCGCATTAAGCGGGGTTCAACTGTATACAGTACAGTAGTATGAACAATTACTACACACAATTTTCATTAAATCAGAGACTATTGATGAAAGTGATAAGAAGATTAATTTTGTAATTCAGTTTAATAATAAATATACAGTACTGTACTGTATTCACTGAAGCTTGGGGCTTAGGAACCCGGGGAAGTCAAAAGCCATGGTAGCTGGAGATTAATTCAAAGATTAGCCTTCTTCCCTACAACAATCTTAACCCTTAAAATGGAAGGGCATAACCCAAACCTCCACCTAGAGAACTAATGAAACCTAAAATATCAACATATGTAACTTGTAAAACTGAAGAAAAGGTCACAAGACCACATGTCTATGTAGCCTCTGATTCACAGAAGCAGGCTCCAGGATGGATATCTAGGCACCCTGGTGTAACGAATGGTGTACAGGGCCTCATAACTTTGTGTCTAGCATTGTCAGTACAGTATTGTCTTAGACTTGATTATTATCAGATATTGATAAAAATCATAGAATATCCATTGTAACATTCCCGAATCACTGCTATTGTTACAGCATATACAGTACTGTAATATGTAATCTAGGATCTATGAATTATTTCTCATTACATAGGCAAAGCATTTCCTTGTCCAGGCCCTCCAGGGTAAGGCAAAACCTAAGTCGCTAGCCAAGACGAAAACGGCGCCACACTACTGTTCATACATATCTTGTACTGCACATGTCTAACTACAAGTGTATAGCAAAATTCACGGTCATTCAAACCATAAATATTTCTTTCTCTGTGTGTGTTTGTTACATTTCAAGACACTGTCCATAGTTTTTATATACACTACAGGTATCTCTCCTGGGCCCCACACAGGAGAAGGGATATGAGCAAGAACAAGAAATAGTTGAAGAAGAAAAGGAAGCCAAACCATACCATACCAAACTGTTAAGGAGCTACCAGGAGTAAATGTGTATCATGCCATGTAATGTTTTATATCAGGAGAGGAGGATGTAAATAAAAGATTTAGAGGAGAAAGAGAAATAAAGATATTGACTCCGTAAGCTTTGATGCTGATGGGTGAGATATACGTATTGTACAACATTACCCTCTTTGACAGTCTTTCCAGAAGATTCATCTTGTGGGGGCACGTGCAATTGTTTCGTCTGTGTCACTGCTGTTAAACTTCTCAAGTGCCTCTCCCTGAACACTCCTCTCATCCACTGGGAGGCAACTCTATGCAACAAAGAAAAAATAATCAATGTGGAAATAAGATTTGGAAAAGTGTTACGTGTTATGCCATTCTGATATTACGTCATCATATCTTGGAATATTGCGAGTTATTGCACATCACTTTTTCATAGCGGTGACAATGCAGGAAAAGCATTCAGGTAGCAACTATCATAAAATTAAATCTATGCATCGCATAGCAGTAAACAATGTTAATTTTGTTAACAGCATAAAACTGATCAATCGTATATAGATACATCATATAGCAGTCAATACCTGTACTTGAGATTTGAACCGTTGAAGGAGCCTTTTCCTATCTTTGAATTCAAAGGTACACCTTATAATTCTCAAACCTCGATTTGCTTTTCTCACTTTTGCCCCCACTTGTTGCACCACCTTCAGTGAATGATCTATCACAACTCCTAGATCCTTTTCCTTATCAACAGTATTCAGGAAAGTGTTTTAACAGAAGGGTCTTGCATTTTATAATAACAAAGAGCATTTGCCAATCTCAAGACCATTTGAATAGCTCATGCAGGCCTTTCTGCATTATTGTGACATCATCTTGCTTTGCTACTTTCCCAAATTCTGTATCATTGTTTCATCTAGCTACTTGATGATGTGATTTGATATGTTATCATCAATGTCATTTATGTAGATCACAAACAGGGTGAGTCCAAGTATAGACCCTTGTGGTACTACTTCCCTGAGAACCTTTTTCTATTCAGAATGTACTCCATTTATTACTGTACCACTCTTTATTGCCTGTCTTCAAGCGAGTTGTTAATCCACTTCAAAATCTTGCCTGTGATGCCATGTGCATGGATCTTAGAAGCTAGTTGTGCATGTGGGACGTTGTCAAATGCCTTGGATAAATCCATGTACAACACATCAACTGGTGAGCCTTGGACCACATACAGTAGTCTTTCTATTTCAAGGAACAGGAGTAAATTTGTCAGAGAGAATTTTCTTTCCATGAAACCATGTTGTGATGCATTGATAAGACTGTGTTCAGTCAGAATGTTGAATATTGACGTCCCTTAGAATTTTCTAAGAGTTTGCATACAGTATACTGTATGTGATGTCAGGATGATCAGCCTGAAGGGCTAATATACAACTGGTGACTGTCAGCAGTTTTATAATTATGTAGGATATTTTTAAACAGTTTTTTATGCTGATTACGTTCACCTCCTCTTAAATTTTTTTGGGAAAATGCTTAGTTTTCGAGATACAGGCAAGTTAAGATAGCATCTTACAGTCACTTCATCAGCATGCGGCAAATGTAAACAATGTACCGTAGCCGTCAGCAGTTCGGTAATTATGAGTGGTTTTTAGACAGTTTTTTGTGCTGATTAGTCTCAGTTCTATTCATTTTCTTGTATAAATCCTTAGTTTTCTAGATATAGGCAAGGTAAGATATAGGTTCAATTAGGTTAGGTTTTCATAGATTAGGTTAGCTCATAATTTCAGCCATTTTTATATTTTCCCAACATAATACAGTATCTCTGCATAAAATAAGTGAAAATTGGGTATTTTAAAACCCATTTTCAATGAAAAACAGTGGATGATGATCATCCGAATAATTACTGCCTGCAGTTTTCTGTTACACTTTTCCCACCCTTCTTGTATACTGGGATGATGTTGGCTAATTTCCAGTCACTAGGTGCTTTACCTTCATCCAAGGGTTTCCTGAATAAGATTCTTAGTGGAGTGGAAATCTCATTTGCCACCTCCTTTGTCACCTTGGTCTGTGCTCCATCCACTCCAGGGTCTTTGAATTCTTTCAAGCTGGCTCCTTTCCTTTTGATGATGTCGCCTGTAACTATGATCTGTGTTACGAGTTGGGGATTTAGAATATAGTTAAAAGTCTACCCAGATCCCAACAGGCAACAAAAAAAAAAAAACAAAGACAATCGGACTATAAAAGGGTAGACAAAGGATGGGAGTTTTTGTTGTGTATAATAAAGTGCCATGAATTCCTTAACAAAATATTCAGCTTTCTATAATTTACCCTTAACCATACTTAACCTAAACATTTACAGTATATACATATTTATACAACATACAATAATTTGAAGCAAGGTGGAGGTGGGGGAGGCAATATAAGATTACAAATACTTAAGTGCGGAGCTGAGACGGCTGACGAGTAAGGCTGAGTATTGTAGAAGACGGTAGGTAGTCACTGTGCCGTAGGTTTCCAGGATAGGTGATCCTGTGGTCACTTCCCAGAGTGAACTGAACTCTCCTCGAACTGGAGCTGACGAAGAAGACTTTGAGGAGGTGACGCAACAACCAGGATATGGAGAAGGGAAACCCCGGAGTGGTAACTAAGAGTAGTCATACTCGGGTTTCGTCCCTAGATGGCGTTGCTCGTGGTGCTGGGTAGGTAGATCAGGACAATAGATTTCGTGGTTCGTAGTGCTGGGTAGGTAGATCATGACAATTGGTGGCGTGGTTCGTAACACACCCCCCTCCAAAGACCTCCGTAGCGCGGGCGCGAAGGAGGTGATCACCTGGTGCATCTGGAGAGTAGCTGCTGCATTTCCACTGGAGCTCGGGATAAGGAGTCCGCAATCAGGTTGTCCACCCCCTTTATGTGCCAGACTTGTAGATTATAGGGCTGGGTGAGGAGAGCCCAGCGGAGGATTCGCTGGTTGGAGGTCTTGTTGGTTTGGATGAACGTGAGTGGGTTATGGTCGGTGAAGACTAGGGTTGTTTGTGGGCAAGACTGGAGGTAACATTCAAACTTCTTTATTGCCAACACGAGAGCCAGGGCCTCCTTCTCTATGGTCGAGTAGTTGGTCTGATGTTTTTTCAACTTGGCGGAGTAGTATGCCACAGGGTGAAGGACATCAGTGGTTGGGTCGGGTTGTAGGAGCACAGCCCCAACTCCGACACCGCTAGCGTCGATTTGCAGATGGAAGGGCAAGGTGTAGTCAGGGGGGTGGACTACAGGCTTGGAGGCAAGGAAGGCTTTGAGGCGGTGGAAAGACTGGTCGCACCTCTGGTTCCAGATGTAAGGGACCGCAGAACTGGTAAGGTCTGTGAGGGGTCCGGCCACGCTGGAGAAGTTACTGCAGAACCGACGGTAGTAGCCGCACATCCCCAGGAAGCGCATGAGTTCCTTCCTCGTCCTTGGAGTGGGGAAGGACAAGATGGCTTTAACGTTTGCGTCCTTGGGTCTCACCATACCATGCCCAACGATATGTCCCAGGTAAGTCACTGAGGCCCGGCCAAAAGCAGATTTAGCCAGGTTTATGGTGAATCCAGTCTCTTGCAGTCGTGCCAACAGTATCTCCAAACGCACCAGATGTTCGTCCCAGCCGTCCGACACCACCACCAGGTCATCCAGGTAGGCGAACGTCCCACCTAGGTCCTGAATCAGGTAATTGATGGCCCTCTGGAATGTGGCCGGAGCATTAGAAAAGCCAAACGCCATAACCAAATACAGTGGGGTATGCTATAACGAACGTAATTGGTTCCAGAACCTCGTTCGTTATAGGATTAATCCGTTCCAGGCCCCCAAATACAACCACTTAACACTGAAAAAATTCTGTGGAAAATGTAAAAAATACGGTACTCTATCTTACCTTAGTGTTATTCAGCATGCAGGTACCCCTAAACACTGGCACAGCACTATCACTTCCACTGGGAGTCTTGGCTTTAAGGTCCTCAAACAATTGTTTAGCCTTCTCACAAATTATAGCTTCACTAATGTTACCACCTGCCATTTCTTTCTCCTTTATCCACACTAAAAGTAAATTTTCCATCTCTTCAATCACATTACACCTTGCTTTGCTAAGTCTAAAGATTCCCTTAGCCACTTGCACTGTTTTTAACTCCCCTTTATTCTTCAAAATCGTACATATAGTCGATTTAGCCATCCCATATTCATCACTAAGTTTCGCAATGCTTCTTCCATTCTCACGTTTCTTTATAATTTCTTTCTTAGTTTCAAGGGTTATTAGCTTTCTCACTCGCTTTGGACGATTCATTGTTACAATTGTATACTTGTACAACAAAATAGTTATACAAATAACGCGAATTTCCACATTAAAAGACGAAATTTCAACAAAAACAGTGGTGCACTGGCTACACAATGAGAAAAAGATGGCGCCTGACGCTCTTGTTGTGGGTCGCGGTACAACAATATTCATGCGCCAGGGGAAATAGTCCCGTATTCATCCGCGTTCGTTGTAGGAGTTGCGTTCGTTATAGCATTCTCAATTTTATAGGTAAAACCGTTCGTTATAGGAATATTCGTAGTAGGATCCGTTCGTTATAGCATACCCCACTGTATTGAAAAAGACCAAATGGAGTTATAAATGCTGAGATTATTTTTGCCCTATCCATGAGTCCCACTTGATAATATCCTTTCAATAAATCCACCGTACTGATAAATTTTGCACAGCCTATGCTGTCTATTATATCTTCAATCAAAGGTAAAGGGTAGGAGTTTGAGACAGTGACCTGGTTCACTTTACGATAATCGGTACAGAAACGAAAGGTGCTATCGGGTTTTGGAATGAGAAGGCAAGGTGAAGCCCAGGGGGAGGTACTAAGCTCAGCTAAGTTATGTTTTAACAAAAAATCTACCTCCTTTTTCATAATCTCTCTTTTTTGTGGATTTAGTCGATATGCTGATTGCCTAATAGGTTGTACATCATCTGAGATTAGCTTAATATCATGTTTAAGTATATTGCAAAACCCTGGGAGGTCTGACGTGACTTCAGGAAATGTCGATAATAACTTAGTGAGATCTTTTGCTTGAGATGGATTCAGAACAGAAAAATACTCATCCACGTTGTTGAGTATGTGACTGTTAGCAGGGTTTTCTTTAGGTAGAGGGAAGTCTAAATTCTCCAGTAGATCCATGTCATCTGTCTCAGGCTCCGGCCCTGACAAAACCGTATGCAATACAGGTAGGCTTATAGCCTCTGGGATGTCTTCCTCTGACTGCCTGGAATGGGTTAAAGTTTCATGAGATTAATGTGAACAAGTTGTGAATCTTTCCTGCGATCAGGAGTATGGACTATATAGTTGAGGGGAGATAGTTTATTAGCAACTATATAGGGACCAGTAAACTTGCTTTTAAGGGGAGAGCCTGGAATGGGAAGAAAGAGTAACAATTTGTTACCTGGAGAAAATGATCTTTCAATTAATTTAGGTTGGGACTTCACCATTTTTTCTTGGACTTTTTTTAAGTTTGACCGAGCAATGGTTCGGACTTCAGTTAATTTGTCCCGTAAAGTGTCAATGTATTGGGAAACTGTTGCGGGCTTAATAGATGGAGTGTCAAACCACTGCTCCTTTACTATTTTAAGGGGTCCCCTAATTTGTCTCCCATATAGTAACTCGAACGGGGAGAAACCCAATGACTCCTGGGGACATTCCCTGATGGCAAAGAGTAACAAATCTATGCTTTCATCCCATTCCTTTTGGTGTTCTATACAGTATTTTTTGAGCATTGATTTGAAAGTTTGATGGAACCGTTCCAAGCAACCTTGGGATTGTGGGTGGTAAGCCGAAGATGTACAATGGTCCACACTGAGGTCTTTCATCACCTGTTTGAAAAGATTGCTCGTAAAATTGGTGCCCTGATCAGATTGGATCTCTTTAGGAATGCCCACTGAAGTGAAAAGGTGCAAAAGAGGTTTGATTACATTTTTTGAAGTGATGCTTTTAAGGGGAAAAGCCTCAGGATAACGTGTACTGGTATCCATAACTGTGAGCAGGAATTGATTTCCCTTCTCAGTCTTTGGTAATGGGCCCACACAATCCACAACAATCTTTTCAAATGGTGTAGAAAATACTGGGATAGGCTTAATGGGAGCTGCTGGTATACTTTCATTTGGTTTTCCTACCATTTGACAAATATGACAAGATTTTAGGCACTTTGACACATCCTTCCTAAGTCCAGGCCAGTAATAGTGTTGGAGGAGCTTTTTATATGTTTTCAGGACTCCCAAATGTCCTGAAATACCATCATGGGCAAGGGCAATTAATGCTGGTCTGACTGAGGAGGGAATTACCACTTGATGTATTTCAGACCACGTGTCTAGATGGGCAAGCTCAGGGGGCCTATAGGCCCTCATCAAAACCCCTTCCTGATAATAAAAACACGGAAGGGTGTTAAAATCTTTACCCTCAACTGCTGCATGATGAAGTTTATTCAAAGATGGATCAGATTGTTGGGCTTTAATGAGCTCATCCTTACTAATGGTCTTATTGTACAGATCTTCTGGGGCAGGAAGATATTGGAGGTGGTTTTAGATGAAGAGGGCCCATTTCGCACACTCTGTGACCGGGTGACAGCACAAGATGGGAAAAGGTGAGGAATAGTTTCTTCAAGGTCAGTGGTGGAGTTGACAGGTAAGGGAGAGCCATTAAGAAAACCTAGATAAATTAATTAATGGTCAAAAGATAAGATAAGTGGATTACCCTAGAAAATATCACGGCAGTGGATAACCAGAAAGTCCCGGAAACTACCCAAGTTATACCTAGGGAAATTACCCTTATGAATATTGTTTATCTGATAAGATCCTTAGATAAGGATAAGAGACTTGAAAGAGGAAGGGCGTATTACGGCATTAATATAAAGATCCGGATAAACAACCCTGAGATACTTGAAACAGGAAGGGCGTATTATTGCATTTATATAAAGATCCGGATTAACAACCCTTGAGTTACTTGATTATTGACCCCGAATGAGATAATGAGAAGAACAATAATTGAGGCTTTATAATTATGGGGTCCTGGTAGAGTGGGGTGTGCCAAGATATCACTTCACCCTAAACTAGTGACTATGGAACAGCCTACTCTGGAGTGAGGGTACGGCATTAAACAGATCCGGATTCTTCCCTCAATAAGACTTACTACACGACTGCCACGTGTAATAACAGGTAAGCCTTATGACACTTGTAAACCTTATATTGCCTCCCCACCTCCACATGCTTTAGAATTGTTGTATGTTGTATAAATATGTATATACTGTTAATGTTTAGGTTAAGTATGGTTAAGGGTAAATTATAGAAAGCTGAAACATTTGTTAAGGAATTTATGGTACAGTGATTTCTGCTATAACGCGAATTTGCTCTAACGCGATTTATGAATTAGGAACGATATTTGTATAACGCGAACGCTTGTTTGCTATAACGCGATTTTTGCTTACTATTTCTCCAATTTTGTGGTACAGTGGGGTATGCTATAACAAATCTAATTGGTTCTAGAACCTTGTTCGTTATAGCATTCGAATGGTTATAGGATTAATCCGTTCCAGGCCCCCAAATACAACCACTTAACACTGAAAAATATAATATAAAATTGTAAAAATTGTAAAAAAGTGCATAAAGATGCATCTAAACCCCTGAAATAAAGAATATCATTAATATTTGTAATAAAAAAACATTAAATTAGAAAAAAAAAAATTAAATAATGTTCGTTGTAGGAGTTTCGTTCGTTATAGCATTCTCAATTTTATAGGTAAAACCGTTCGTTATAGGAATATTCGTAGTAGAATCCGTTCGTTATAGCATACCCCACTGTATTAACTGTGAATATAGTAAAGAAGAATATCAACAAGAAGCGTTCTGGTGATAGAATTCCCGGTGATGATCGTAAAAGAAAGGATATAACACTTGAAGAGAAGCTCGATTTTATCAACCTCAAAATCACCCTTCTCCCCCATCAAGTAAAGTGTTACATTTACTGTATGATTTCATTATTAGATATGAATGTAACATTTATTTAGACTGTGCTATCCTTTGTGTTAGGCTAACTACTAAATTTTTTCGATTTCGAGTAATCTGCACCTAACCCTATTTTCTCCATAAGCCCTGTTATTTCTATTACGCGATTTTCTATAACACGATATTTTACAAGAACACAATTATCGCGTTATAGCAGAACTACCTGTACTTTATTATACACAACAAAAACTCACATCCTTTGTCTACCCTTTTATAGTCCGATTGTCTTTGTTTTTTTATTGTTGTTGCCTGTTGGGATCAGGGTAGACTTTTAACTATATTCTAAATCCCCAACTCGTAACATCTGTCTTAATTCATTTACCACCCGTGAGGTATATATTTTCTTAGGTACTGCATGTTATCCATTGTCTCTTGTGTGAATACTGATGCAAAGTATTAATTTAAAGTATCAGATGTTTGGTTGCCATTATGGAGTATTTATGCTTCAGGGGCAGATCCAGGAATATAAAAAAGGGGGCGGGGGGGGAGGGGGGTCCAAGAAGTTGCGGGTGGGGGAACATGGCAAGCACAGCAAGCCCACCCAGCTGGAGGCTTTTGGGGAGGGGTGCTGTAAACCCCTGATTTTTTTTTTCTTTTTTTTTAACTCTGACCAATATTATGGGTATTTTGAAGTCATTTTGAAGCCGTGTCTACATGATATTATGAGACAGTCTGAGGTCAATAGCAGTTACTTTTTACTATAAAAAATGCCTGACTACAATACCTGTACTGCATTAAAAAAAAGTATTGCACCCAAGACCCTCCCCCTGTGCTTTACAAAGTAACATTACACCTCAACCATTTTCCTTCGTCTCACTGTACCTCAAAAATATATGAACAAATATTCACACAACAAATCTCCACTTACCTGACCTTACAAGCATTGGTGAATGAGTGAAGCAAAGATCTCATTTTGTCTGACCTAAAAAATAAATAAAATATATATATATATATTATATATATATATATATATATATATATATATATATATATATATATATATATATATATATATATATATATATATATATATATATATATATATATATATATATATATACGTACAGTATGTACAGTATATTACAGTATATGAGAACAAACATGTACTATTGTGCAGTACAGTATAGTATAAGGGACCATTTATTTGATAAACTGCAGTATGGTACTCTGTACTGCAGTTTTATCATGCTTCATTTCAGTTTTATATAATACCCCCTGTACCTGTATACTTTACCGGTATTGAAAAATTCATATCTATCTTTTATCTTATGACTTAATTAAGGAGTTTCAGGAGTAGCCACATATAAACAATTTCTAAACTACTGTATTTCAGTGTCTGATTTCACAATCACAATATTTTCAAGTATTTATGATTGAAGTAATATCTGATATATATAGTGAGGACTTCTATTACTTAGTGTGGTTATCACTTGCTTATAGGTGGATGATAATGACAAGAGCCCAGATATTCAGGCAAACTGTTTTAAATGCTTGTACTGTACTGTACAGTACAGTCAGTCCCCGACTTATGACAGAGTTAGGGACAGACGACCAGGTTGTAAGTCAAAAATGCAAATAATACATAGAAAATCTAATATAGGTGTCTCTTTTTCTTCTCAGCACCACGAGAACTCTCACTTTTACGCTTGCCAGCCATTTTAAAGGGAATTACAAACGAAAATTTTGTCAGTACACAACCCGATCACTAACATCGGGACTCGAAAATACAATACGTAATTTAAAAATATTTTGTACTACTGCGGCGGTCGTATGTCCGGGTGGTCGTAAGTCGAGGTGTACCTAAATTTGAAATTTCAGCAAAAATAACTTAGGGCATTTTCTCTCAATGCACCTACTTTGCCTATATCTCTTAAATATTAATATCATCCTGTTTTAAGGGGGCCCCAAAGGTTTTTAGAAAAATCCTCACCAACAGCATCTCACTGACAGGACACAAAACTTTCCAGAATAAGTAAAGTAAAGGGTACTTGCAAATTATACTGGTAATTGAACTTCAGCATATAGGGAGATAGATAACAAAAAAGTAAGAACAATTTGCTCTACAGTATTTTTTGTGAGAAATTTATATTTTTTCAGTTCTTTTTTACTCTTTTTACTTCAGGTTTCGCTCTTCAGGTTCCTTGGTGTTTCTTTTATCTTGTTGGGATAGGAAGTTAGGTCAGATCTTTCTTGTTTCTCTGATTAGGTTAGACATGTACAGTCCAGCACTGTATTGTATACAGTTCAGTACAGGTATGTATTGATATTTGTGTCATTAGGTTCTTGATGATCTTTTTGTTTGGCAATAAATTTATTTTCTCTAAACCCGGCTCCTTAATCTGGGCTCCTGTACAGAAATATTAAACTTTAAGTTTTCTTTAATACTAATTAGGTTAGGTTAGGTTTTGTTTCATCCATTTTTGCATGCTTTTAACCCACAATTTCCCTCGACTTCGAAGCCCTGCTCACTTGGTGTGATCAAAATTCCAGTTTTTAAGTGAAATCGGTAGGTAAAATTTTGTATTAATAAATATTTCTCACAAAAATGGTAAACAGTATTCTTATTTTTTTGGCTCTATTTCCCTATACTGTATACAAATCAATATTGGTCAGTGGTTGTCTTTTACTGAATTTTTACCCCTTTAACCACTTGTGTATGGGGCGTCTGCTAAATAAAATCGTCGGTTAACATTTAGTTTAGCACATGACCTTGACTCTTGGATGAAAATAGTTCATTATTATATAGAATTTAATTCTGAATCTATGTTCTTCTATGATATGTCTTGTGCAAATTTTTAATAACAGAGATACAGTACAGGTATAAGCAATATTTGGATAGAATAAAATGAGTGTCTGTCGACGAAATAAACATGTCGACTAGGATGTAACCTTCACTAACCATGATGTGACGGCCAGGTTTCCTTTTAACGTTAGGTTTGATTGAGTTGGTTTTAAAGGCTTGGTAGTGCCCCCACACCCTCTTTACCCACAATTTCCCTCGAATTCAAAACCCTGCCCATTTTTGTTGATTTCAAAATTGTTGGATGGAGGGGGGATTGCAGGAGGCATATCTCCATAAGGCTCATTTGCACAAGAAATACTGTAAAAGAAAATCAATTCGGAATTAAATTCTATAAAAGAATCTATTTCCATCCTGAAGCCCAGATCATGTGCTAAACCAAATAATTACCAAATTGTCTGACATTAGCGAAACAACATAATAAAACTAGCATCTCCATAGCGAGGAGTTAAATTAATGACATTCCTTAAGACTATTGTACAGTGTACTGTACTGTACATAGTTTGAATAATTAGTGTTATTGTTTTTATGTTTAATGGTGCTTATATGAATGATAAACCAATGTACAAGTTTGGTGATTTCTTCTTGAATAAACATCGGTAATACTGGACACAAAGTTAAAAAAGTGACTAAAAGCCCAGAGTAGGTAAAATTTTAGGGTAAATTTATAGTAGTGCACCGTTCTTTCTTTGGGTATTAGAAATATATGTAAAAAAAACAGAAATTCACCCAAAACCAACCAAACCTAATCTTTAGGTTAGGTTAGATAGAATGGTGCATCAAAAACCATCGGAAAAACAGTTGATATCTAACCTAACTTAACCTAATTCCTAAGATACTCCGGATCGGTCTGACTAATTACCCAAATGTAGCCAAATATAGCCGCAATGAAGTCAAATAATGGTCCTACATGAATAAATCGGACTGTTAATCACTTCTCGACTAGTATTTGGTGTCAGAAAGTCACAAAAAATTGGAAAACTTACTTTAATCCGAGTTAATAGATCGCGTGCATGTACTAACGGAGCGAGGAATTACCCGTTGTACCCACATGTAGCCGCAATGAAGCCAAATGATGGTCGTACAAGCGTAATTCGGGCTGTGAATCACTTCTCGATTATTATTTGGTGTCATAAAGTAAAAAAAAATTGGTAAACTTAATTTAATCTGAGTTGTGTTGTGTTAGGTTAGGTTAGATTAGATTAGATTAGATTAGATTAGATTAGATTAGATTAGATTAGATTAGATTAGATTAGATTAGATTAGATTAGGTTAGGTTAGATTAGGTTATGTACATGCACTTGATCTATTAACTCAGATTAAATTAAGTTTACCAATTTTTTGTGACACCAAATACTAGTCGAGAAGTGATTAACAGTCCGATTTATTCATCTAGGACCATTATTTGACTTCATTGCGGCTATATTTGGCTACATTTGGGTAATTAGTCGGACCCCTCCGGATGACCAAAACTAAAATCCCCCCCCCCCACAGTATATACTTTTCTAGATAACGACTGGTGACAGCGAAGAGAATAAAATAAGTAATAATCGAGTATCCTAAAGTACACCTGAGAACTGACTTGGTCTCTCGGGCTCCTGATTCCTGACTTGTGAGAACCAAAATAAACCACTTGCTAGATCGTCTTCAAGATATTTCTGGCCAATTGTGGCTAATTTTGGAGGAAATGCTGTGGAACTTCCGGACATATATTAACTCGGTCCGAATCAGCAAATAATTGAAATTGTGCTTTAAAACTAATGTATAGTCGTTTGTGTAATTATAACAAGTGAAGTAAGAGCTATCAGACGCGCGATAAATCTCATTTCTCGAGCTATAGAATTTTTTTATCCTCTTTACCACTGATCGGCAAATACTGAATATGTACTGGCTCCAATGGATCTATAACTGTGCCAGTGTTGGTCAAGTTTGGTGTCTTGAACAAGGAATATAATCAGGAACTATTAGTTTAACAAGAATATGTCAGTCCCTATTAGTTGGCTGCTTGTCCTAGAGATGGCGGTGAATCGTTGGTGTGTCGGCTGTCTGTTCACATAATATTTAAATTTCAACCTTAGCTAGTTTAGTTTAAAAAATTTATTGACAAAGCTTGGAGTATAGTTTGCCTATTCTGAGTAAGTCAGTCAGGTCTTGACACTGAGGGTGGTATCATTTCTCACTGCCACGCAGGACAGAGGTTCATACACAAAGAAATACATCATATTCATTAACAGTATATATACTGTAGGTCAGGTGAACGGAAGTAAAGTCACATTGACAACACATTATAATATAATGTGTTGTCAATGTGGAAATGGTAGAGAAATAAGGTTTCCTTTCATCTAAAAAAAACAGGAAAAAGTTCATAGTTATGTAGTTAATTTATAAGCAATGACGGTTAATTCGCAGTTTATTTTATAATTTTACCACTTACTAGTCATTCTGGCGGCAGGTATCTCATTACTAATGAGTCATTAGTTACTTGTGAACTTGATTGTCCAGTATCACCCATCAAGTAACCCCCCTCCTTTTATAGTTGTTTCTAGGGTAATTTGATCTCTTCAAATTTACAATTAGAAATATTGGAAACCAATACAGTATAAGAACAATAAGAAGGCGGTTTGTTACATTTGTGCGTGCGGTATAGTGGTCCATGTGTAGCAAAATGGAATGTTAAATTAGCTGTGACATTTTCTTATTAATTTACGACAATTTTGAGCTGAGTAACCGACATGGCGCCGCAAACATGTCACCAAGTTGCCGAACTCCTTATCTGCGGCTCGTTCACCCCCCAAAGTGGCGCTGCCAAGCGGCTGGGGAGTCCAGGCAAGGAATAAAGAGAGGACACCCCAAAAATCGGCGAAACCACGATTTTCTTTGGTTTTATGGATTTCTTTATAGCAACAGGTTTGAGATCCCGGTATTGTGCAGCTATTAATTTCTGTAGCAACTCCTTAAGGAACATAAACCTTTCTCTCTATCGATTTCCGAAAGATAAAGAGAGGCGAGTCGCACACCTACTTCTGTCAATGTTGACATAATTATTTATTAGTTTACGTGGGCACTTACTGTATTCATGCATTTAGTAATTGTTGGTTGTTTCGGTACATGAAATCGAAAAGACCCAAATGGTGTAAAGCTGGTTTAAAACTGTAACTACCACCATCGCTCTTACTGAAGAACCGAACTTGGAAGAAATTTCCTTAAGTATTCAGATTCAGATTTGCCCCCGAGGGGGCTAGTTTATTGGGCACCCCCTTACATCCTGTGCAAGGTGAAGCGCAGAAGCGTTTACCCCTTAAGTATTGGTAAGTAATTATTTTTTTCTGTAAAATAATCAATGTGTTGCTTTGAGAAATTATCCCTAGATATCTAAAGCTTAATGTCAATAACATACTGACGATATATAAAATGTGCTTATTTAATAATCTGGTTTTATCGCTCAATATTATGTAAGGCGCAATGAAATTAATGTGTTTGCCACTCCCCAGCCGCTTGGCGTCGCCACCGTCGCGAAGGCTAAAAAAATTAACATTGAGTGAGCTATCCCAAAACAAGGGTCGCAAACAGGTCATGGGGTCGCATAGAAATCATAGGGTCGCTGGATTCACCTGGATCAAGCAGCAGTTACAGGTGCTGTCTCATGAAGTCGAGACCATGGATTATGGTTAAGGGACTAACGCAGTTCAGTTTCCGTTCAAGACATGTAAAGTATTGTGGCTCGAAATGGCAGAATTACAGGCTGACAACGAGGCAAGGGAGAATTTTGACGTCAAGATGACATAGGAAAATCTTGGATTACTTTAGCAAAGACACATTCAGCATTTAAAAATCGAGCTATCAAGGTTCTGGTACAATTTGGAACCATATATGTTTCTGAGGTAGCCTTCTCGTTAATGGTGTTTATAAATAATGATTAACGTAGATTTAATCTCACCTAACCTCGCTTCAACCTAGAAAATTGTATGCTATGTTGCTTAACCTCATATACCCCCGGGTATAGAAAATTAATCAAATGATGCCGTACACATTTCAGTTGTTACTTTTACTTTTGCCTTAGAAAATTCTATACTGTTGTTTAATCACATAGTAGAAAATTGATTAAATGATAATAAACACATGTCACATATGAACTGTGGGCCGCTGTGTTGTGTTGAGTAAGCTGGAGCTGGAGCAGTTGTGGAGAGAGGTGAACATTTTGAAGGGGAAAAGCGAAGCCCTCAGGACTGAACTCCTCCAGATGGGTGTCCTGCCTAGCAGGACACCTACGAAGGAGGGTCAGCAGGAGCAGGAGTGGAGAGTGGTTGTCTCCAAGGGGACTTGGGTCAGACTCAGGAAAGCAAACCAGGGTGTGGAGTGCAGTAACCCCCACCAAGTGTTGGAGGAAGCTGGCGAGGAAGAGAAGAGGCAGGACGGTGTGGTGGCAGGAGAGGAAAGGGGAGTTGGTCAAACCCTGCCCAGTGGTAAGGTCGTGGTAGTTGGGGACAGCCAGGTGAGGTTCTTAGGTAGGACTTTTTGTGAGAGAGATAGGAAACGAAGGACTAGGGTGTGTTTTCCTGGGGTTGGGATAGGGCATGTAGTGAAAAGGATGGATATGATCTTGTCAGGGGAGGGTATCAAGCCAGGAGATGGATATGATCTTGTCAGGGGAGGGTACCAAGCCAGGGGATGGATAGGATCTTGTCAGGGGAGGGTACCAAGCCAGGAGATGGATATGATCTTGTCAGGGGAGGGTGCCAAGCCAGGAGATGGATAGGATCTTGTCAGGGGAGGGTACCAAGCCAGGAGATGGATAGGATCTTGTCAGGGGAGGGTGCCAAGCCAGGAGATGGATAGGATCTTGTCAGGAGGGCCAAGCCATGAGATATAGGATCTTGTAGGGGGTACCAGAGATGGATAGGATCTTGTCAGGGGGTGCCAAGCCAGGAGATGGATATGATCTTGTCAGGGGAGGGATGATAGGATCCAGGGATGGATAGGATCTTGTCAGGGGAGCCAAGGGAGATGGATAGGATCTTGTCAGGAGGGTGCCAAGCCAGGAGATGGATAGGATCTCTTGTCAGGGGACCAAGCCAGAGATCTTGTCAGGGGAGGGTATCAAGCCAGGAGATGGATATGATCTTGTCAGGGGAGGGTACCAAGCCAGGAGATGGATAAGATCTTGTCAGGGGAGGGTTCGAAGCGATGAGATGGATATGATCTTGTCAGGGGAGGGTGCCAAGCCAGGAGATGGATAGGATCTTGTCAGGGAAGGGTACCAAGCCAGGAGATGGATAGGATCTTGTCAGGGGAGGGTACCAAGCCAGGAGATGGATAGGATCTTGTCAGGGGAGGGTACCAAGCCAGTAGTGTGTCTTTGTGTAGGAGGCAATGTAAGGGCGGGGGTTTTCTTTTCTCTCGTTCTATTTATTTTTTTATCCCCTTGGGGTTAACTTTTAAACTCTTCAACCTGTTTTTTTTATTAATTTCTTACTTCATTCATTTTCTCCACTAGTTCTGTCTAGTTATTTCATTTCCTTTAGCTACTTCATAACCTCTGACCTTTGGTAGCATGGCAAGGGTTTGGGCACATGGGTTCTGTAATTTTGGTATCAAGCTATTGGACAAGAATAAAGGTAGATACTGAGGGAAAATGATACCCCTAATATACTCTAAAAATGGTTTATTAATATGAAATTAAATTTGGTTAAAGATATCATTAACATACAACAACAAGGATCAACTCTTTGGCTTTACTCATCTGCAATTCCAATTAGATACTCTTGCTTTTTATATCATTACTGGTTGTACATTTAAAAGAACACACCACATAACCAGCTTACATATGGCACCTTCACTAGAACTCAGTTGGTAGAACATATGATTGATGTACTTTCAACTCACATAACAAGCGTTATTACTGGTAACATCAAGATTTAGGGGCTCAATACTCAACATGGGATAACTATATTCCTTGCTAGTTATCCTCAATCAGGTTCAGATACATTCAGGAGCCGGTGAATGCTCAGTACTTGCCAACAGTGCGTAACAGAGAACCAGTACATGACTATTACTTGCCAACAGTGCGTGACAGAGACGTGACCTATCGCCCAAGCGGCTAACGAGCCGATCAGTGGTGAAGAGGATAAAAGTAACAGAGACGTGACCTATCGCCCAAGCGGCTAACAAGCCGATCAGTGGTGAAGAGGATAAAAATAAAAGTAAAAGTAGGTAAATTTCTTACGTCTATTGTTACATACTAATCATAGGTTGAGCTTGTCAAGAAAAAGTGAGATAAACATCAAATACACACACTGTTAACGTCATTCTCACAACATCAGCGTAATGTCAGACAAGGGCCCTCTATTGGTATACGTGGAGATCTTGGAGATAAGGAGTTTGACATGTTCTTTTCAGAAGATTGATGGCTTTTAAAACTAGATAACTGACAATCATTAAACCACAATCTGATGTTTGGGCATCACAAAGATCTAATTTCAGTAGCAATTGTAAACTCAGGCATCCCCCAAGGGTGATATTCGCACTAGCGTAGCTAGGGGGGGGCGGTCCGCCCCGGGCGGCACTTTTGGGGGGCGGCACTTTTGGGTCTGCTCATCACCCATATCTGCAGCTACTGGAGACGTTAATCCATCCCTTTGTATCGGCGGCAAGTTAATTCTTGTCGTGTCTGACCTACACCTGACCCACATCATCACGGCCACGTCATGAGCTACACCCTTGCTATGCGCCCCCCCCCCGCCACACACACAACCTGTAACCTGTTGAGGATTAAGGAAACAACTTCAAACAATTGTTGTTAGTGTTGCTACCTGTGAGAGGAGTTTTTCGAAACTAAAACTGATCAAGAAT